TGTTAGATATGAATTTTAGTTTATTTTAAAATATGTTTGAGTATTTTTGAGCTGAATATGAATTTATATGGTTTTATTAGATTAAATGGATAAAAATTCGTAGAATATTCATGGCTGATTCAAAAATTATGATTCCAATTGGATAAATCATATTATGATGTCTTGAGGCTTAGTTTAAATTGTTGTGAAATTTGGAGCTCGTTTGATATGCGAATGGAATTTGTGAGTTTGGACCAAGCATTTTTGTTAACTGAGTTAAGAGTTGAATATTATTGTGATAAAATTCCCATAAATCATTCGTATGCTGAGATGTGTGTGTCTAAAATTTTCATAATTTTTAGATGCCGTTTAGTATGGATTAAAATTCGGAACTTTTGCCTACTTTTGTCGTATTTTTAGAAATTGTTTCGGTTGGATTTTCGCTAAAGTTGTTTGATGTAAATTTCTTATAAATCATGTTGAACTTTGGGTTAAAGTTTCGGCTTAAAATGAGTTAGTTTGTTCGGAGAACCAAAACCCTAATTTTATTCGGTTATCAGGATAACCGAGTAAATTTTGGATCTGGATTTAATCGCCCAAACCCTAGTACCGTTTAAACAACTTTAGACGTCATAAGCTTATAAATGAGTCCTTGGGTGTTGGGATGTGGTCGGTCGACCGTTAGTCGCCGACGGGATCATAATCGAGCCTAAGAAGGCTATCGAGGTCGTGTGCCTCGTAGCAATTGAAATTATTCAATCGACGTGTATTAACACGTATCCTTAACGCGATTCGCCATTCCGCACAAGTACTCGACCTTCGTCTGATCGTTGGAGTCGAACCACCGAATGCGTGCCCGTGCACCAAGTCCGAATCGAACCACCGAGTGCGTGCCCGTGCACCGAGTTTGAGTCGAACCACCGAGTGCGTGCCTGTGCACCGAGCCCGTTCGACCTACCGTCAACGCGCCGTTTTCCGTTAGCCGTGGTCCAAGCACGCCCCTGCGTCATTGACTGTTGCACCATTTATAAACTCGTGCTTCGGCAAAGCTGTATTTGCCGTGTTCGTGCGTGCCCGTGAGTTGCTACGCCGAAGCCGAACTCATGTTGCATAATAAACAAAAACTTGTATATAAAGAATCATGTTGCACTCAAATATGAATTAAATGTTTAACTTACTGGGATTTACTTGAACGCTATTGTCGTAAATGTCCAACAAAAGTCTGATGTACTCGCCCTCCGTGAGTCCAGTATTCGAATGCTGAAACTCATAGTACCAGAACTGATAATTTTGGTACAACTTCTCTCTGTCAGGAATTTGATATCTGTAGAATGTTATTCCATACAAACATTATTAAATGAATGATATATATAGAATATTTTTGTAAACAAAATACTACCAGAAAAATGAGTTGAATTAAATAATTTTAAAAACAAACTACCTCTTATTTAAGTTCGGCATAATGACTCTGAGGCATTCGTGCTCATCTCAGCTTGTTGACAAAAGCTGCAACATCTTGCCATAGTATTTGGCCCACTGTTACTGACGCATGAATTGGTGACATTAAGGTATGAGCAACAAATCTTAACGCATCAGGATTTGGGGAGTCATGATTGGGGAAACGTACTCAAATCCTTTTACTCAACACATATGAAACAAGTATTGATTAGCACGCGGTGGCAGGGTTCTTGCTGAATAGCAGGTGCAACAAATATAAAAACACAGTACGCAAATATAACTATGACTTGCAAAACAAAAGAAAATGACAAAATAAGTCAACAAGTGCTCCAATCAATAAAAAGGGAGAAATATTTGTAACTATACAGACAAAATAACTATGATATGCAAAACTGAAGAAATTAGTCAAAACTTAATTCATTAAAGTAACTTAATATTCTTAATTCACGTCAAATCATTAGCACTAAATTATTATCAAACAACAATATATTTGCAAGACTTTGACTTTCTCACAATTACGAATAAGTATTTACAAATGCTAAATACTTATAAATTTAAATGAGAATCTAACTTAAAAGTTTAAATATTATGAAATAATACAACTTGAGATAACAAATGACACGACGATTAAATGATTTTATAATTAATTAGTTAACTAAAAAATAGAAAGCTGATTATTGACTGTTATGTTAATATTAAGTAAAGTAAAATATGATGAAGATCCAGTTCCTAAAGTGGATGGGCCAAATTGGGATTTAGATTGGCCATGGCTATATTGTGATCCAACAACGGCACTCCAAGATTTGAACTTGTCACGCCCCTGGCCATGTTGAGACAGATGCAGTATGTGAGAATTCATAGTTAAGAAAACATTTTTATTTTCTCAGCAAAATAACTAGTTCATCACTTACATAGTGAAAAAGCAAGAAGAATTCGTGAATATACTAATAAATTAAAGTTTCTAGTATACACCGAATTATAAAATGAGAATTATGAGTCAACATGATTCGTGTTGATGAGAGAGTCGTGGACTCAGTCCATGTTGACTCATAATTCTCATTTTATTATTCGGTATATACTAGAAACTTTGGATTATTAGTATATTCACTAATTCTTTAGGTTTTTCATTATGTAAGTGATTAACTAGTTGGTTTTCATTATGTAAGTGATGAACTAGTTTTTTCGCTGGCTGAGAAAATTAAACTGTTTTCTTAACTATGATTCTCACAGACTGCATCTGGTCCGTCTACGTTTCAACATGGCCAGGTGCTTGGCAAGTTCAACTCTTGGAGTGCCGTTGTTGGATTACAATATGGCCATGGCCAGTCTAAATCTCAATTTGGCCTGTCCACTTCAGGAACTGGATCTTCATCCGTGGTGATGTTTTACTTTACTTAACATAACAGTCAATAATCAATTTTTTATTTTTTAGCTAACTAATTAATTATAAAATCTTATAATTATCGTTTCTTTTGTTATCTCATGTTATATTATTTCATAATATTTAAACTTTTAAGTTAGATTCTCATTTAGATTTATAATTACTTAACATTTGTAAATATTTATTCGATTCGAAGAATGTAATTGTGAGAGAGTCAAAGTCTTGCAAATATATTGTTGTTGACGTGAATTAAGAATATTAAGCTATTTTAATGAAGTAAGTTTTGACTAATTTCTTTAGTTTTGCATATCATAGTTATTTTGTCGTATAGTTACAAAAATTACTCCATTTTTATTGATTGAAGCACTTGTTGATTTATTTTGTCATTTTCTTTTATTTTGCAAGTCATAGTTATATTTGTCGTGTTGTGTTTTTATATGTTGTTGCACCTACTATTTAGCACCCTCTGCCACCGCTTGCCGATCAATACTTGTTTCATGTGTCTTGGATAAAGGATTTGATCATGCTACGAGAGTACGTTTCCCCAATCATGACTTCGGCCTAAATCCTGATGCGTTGAGGTTCGTTGCTCATACCGTAAGATCACCAATTCATGCGTTAGTGACAGTGGGTCAAATACTATGGCAAGGTGTTGCAGCTTTTGTCAACAAGCTGAGATGGGCATGAATATATTTGCAACGTCTCAGAGTCGTGATGCCGAACTTAAATAAGAGGTAGTTTGTTTTAAAATTATTTAATTCAACTGATTTCTTTTGTTAGTATTTTGTTTATAAAAAGATTCTATATATATTATTCATAGTATTTGTATGGAATAACATTCTACAAATATCAAAACAATCCTCACATAGAGAAGTTGTACCAAGATTATCAGTTCTGATACTATGAGTTTCAGCATTCGAATATTGGACTCACGGAGGGTGAGTACTTCAGGCTTTTGTTGGACATCTACGACAACAGCATTCAAGTAAACCCCAGTAAGTTAAACATTTAATTCATACTTGAGTGCAACGTGATTCTTTATATACTAGTTTTTGTTTATTTTTTTTCTATTTTCCTTCAAAATATTTTTTGAAAAGTTGCTTTAAGGTTTTTGGGAAAACTTGAACATTGCTTTTGGAAGCAAAATGCTTCTTTTAGGTGGCAGAATAATTCTGAAACTAAACAACGGTTATAATGTCCCATCAAAGCTTAAATTTTGATCTTTATAGTGCTTCAACTAAGCCTAAATCTGAAAAAAATGTTCTAAAAATTCTCAACTTTTCTTTCGGTTTGGTCGGTAAATTAGCCAAACCATTAAGCTCCCGAGAACAAATTAACCAAACCATTAAGCTTCTGAGAATCTGATACAATTTCTTTTTATTAGTTACATGAAACTGAAAATTTGGTAAAAGTTGAATAAGAAATTTGATTCGGTGTTGCTTTATTTCACCAAATTTTTTTCAAATTGCCTTAATTGTAAAATAAACAATAATTTTCTGCAAACGAAATTAAGTGGGAGAATCCTTAGTTTATGCTTTATGCGGAAGAAACAAAGTCCATAGACTCAGGATGTGCCTTGTATAAAGTGAATGTAGCTAATAAGAAATTAATGATTGTATAATCTCTCACTCTTCTTTTTTGAGCATTGTTTTCTTTGTAATAGTATCTTTATTAGGAAAAAAGAAAAAAAGTGTTGAACATAATATCATGAAGCATGACTCTTGGCATAAGAGGTGTACAAGTGGTGTTGTAGCTGTTATCTTACTATGGGGTATTGTTCTTCAGGTCAGATCCCGGCCCCCAGACCAATTCGTCTTCTGCTGTGTATTTGGCTTCCACATTCCTTTTGTGCTTGATTTAGAGTCTTTTAGATGTGGGCTGTGTCGGAATACAAAGCATTCTGTAGTCTCTAATTTTGCGACATAGCATACTTGTTTTTCTTTGTTTTATNTCCTTTTTCTCTTATTATTATTTGTTTTTAACTACTGTGATCCTTATTCATGTGTGAATTAGAAAGGAGTCTTCATTAAATTGTGTAGCATATTTGTGGCACTGTTCTATTCTGGTCATGCTCATGCACTATGAGCTGCTATGCTGTTTGGCTGATCTTATATATTTTTGGAATTTAAAACTGTTATTCAATAAATTAAATCTGACGTTTCCAACGGTTATTGTCTGCGAGATTAATACGTGGGGTTATTCAACTATAAATTTCTTTGCACCTATGAGTCGATATGCAAGCAATGGTGGAGGATCAAGTAATGCTTCACGAGAATTCAAATCAATGGTTAAGGCATTGCATGGTGCAAGAATTGAGGTAATCCTCTACTTTTTTCATGATTTGCACTTCAAAAATTTAATTTTATGGCTAACTGTTGAATTAAAGTTTGATCCTAACTGTAGAACTAATGTTTGATGCACCTTTTATGTTTTCTTTCCACAGGTCATTTTAGATGTTGTTTACAAACACACAAATGAGACCGATGATAAAAATCAATATACTACTTCATTTCGTCGCATAGATCACCAGGTGATTTTCTGTTCCTTACTAAGTGTTTTCCTGTATTGATTATTTCTTTTCATGTGTAGTGTATACTTTGTCTTATTATGTATCATGTTGACTGATCTTNAAAAAAAAAGAAAAAGAAAGAAAGAAAGAAAAAAAAAACCCAGAAATTCCATAGTAGCCCAGCAAGCATACTTTACACTTGTTGATGGATTTCTCTTGTAAAACACAGATTCCCAAGAAACTTTCCCAAACATGTCCCACAACATTTTCCCACTCAATACTGAAACATTCCCTTCATCAAACATTCCCTTCATCTACACCAACTCTTCTGATGTTCTCAACAGGACTGGTTAACATGTTGATGTCTTATCGGGGTGTGGGATTCTACCATGTTGCTCACTCCCCAATACTTGCCATTTGAGTCTTCATTTGTAGATTCTTTAACCTTCAGCCATTTGCTGTAGTTTTTCTCTCAAGTTCAATGTGCTACTGTTATGAGAGAAAATCATGCGAATATTCCTTGAGTGGGATTGCTTGATGGAGTCAGTTATCAGTATAATTATAATAACATTGTAATTTTAAATGTTGTAGGTTTATTACATGTTAGACTTAAATGGCCAGTTGCTGAACTACTCTGGTTGTGGTAAGTCCAATATCAGCCTAAGCTACGGGACAAGATTTAATATTGTTGAAGGGTTGGTTTGCATTTCTTGTTTGATATTCCATTGCTTCAGTCTATTAGACATCTTTAAATTATTATTTTTGAATCCTTTCACTATTCCTCTGACTGTAGCTCAAGTACTTCAATTAAGTCTAATGGTTGGTACTGGTAAATTGAACTCTTGTATATGAGCCAAGCCATTCAACATGGTTTAAAAGAATATCAGAATAGGCTAGACCAACTATACACATTATTTTCTTCTTGCTTTTATTACGTTTGATCTGTAAGTAGTGAAGTCACTGCTATAGTTGGACCATGTTGATTGATGATGTGCTGAAAGCAAAATCCTTCATTGGTATAGTTTATGATAGATAATCTTTGTTGCTCTGATATGTAATCTGGTTGTCTAGGGAATACGTTGAACTGTAACCATCCTGTTGTCATGGAACTTATTCTCAACAGCTCGAGGCACTGGTATGTCCTTATTTGTTTCAATAACCTTATTTATTTGAATACGTTAACATCCGTCTTCAGTTATGCAATTCGTTACGTTTGTAAATTTTTGTGTAAACGTATAACGTGTATGAAGCTTGTACTTTTCTTGACTTGCGTATGTATAAAGTGAATTCATTTGAAATTACCGGAAAAATATTAGAAATCAATATATTAAACTAATTCAGTAATGATTATATTCGAGTTTCTATATTTTGATTTTAGCTGGTTGCATTCCTGATTTCATATGGTTTTATTTTTTCTCTACCATACAATTAGTCAATTATATACGAGGCATAAACATTTCTGATATGTGCTGTCCTTTGTAAACACTAACCAGTTGCAGTTAGTTCTCTATCTATACTATTTTTTTTGTGTGAACAGGATTGTGATTGTTAGTTCTCTAAGATAGATATTCACTTATTTATTTTTCATACTTTGTTGGCTGAACTCTTTTTATAGATTTATTTTGTAGTTGTGTGTGCATAGTTTTGAAATCTTGAATAGCATGATATGCTACTGATAATAGTTCTCAGGTATAACAATATGACATATTGCGTAGTGTCATTCCAAGAAATGGTTCTTATTTGACACACAGACACACACACAAAAACATATACATCCATTTACCTATTCAGAAAATCAAGCAGTAAAGGCATAGTTTTTTTACTACTATTAGAAAGTTTTAGAATTTACTAAATTTAGCATGAAGTCTCTTCTTCTGGAAAATCAAGCATGAAGTTTCTTTTTTTGGAATGTTCCTTTTACTTATAATAAATTTTTTAAAACATTTTATATCAAATTTTCTTATATAAAAACCATAAAAAAGTCATCAATGTCATATTTTATATATTTTAGTAAACATGTAAATAACTTATTTATAAGGTAAATACAATAAAACATTGCAAATAACATATATTAAATTATAGCATGCAAATAATTTCTTCGCGCAATATAGTTTACCAATTATACAATCATTATAAATTATTTTATCTATTGTGACGTCATTTACTATTGAAAATGTATACGTCCAATTGTTTTCATAATATAAGAGAATAAATAAATAATTATCTTTACATATTAAACAAACGTTTGAAAATTATTGAGCATGTATCTCTCTTCCTATTCACACAACATTTTTAAAATTAAAATATATAAAAATATACTGAATTTAGTTTTCATAGGTATCCTCAATTTATTAGAAAATTTTACTAGATTAAAGTGCCAAAATTTATTATACTTTTAAAGAAAAAAAAGCAGTCACAATATATGGAAAAATAAATGTAGTTATTAAACTAGCATGTTCATATGATCTTCAAATTGAATTTGAAACATTCTAAAAATGAAGGGGAAACAACAATTTACAATAATTAAATATGGTATGAACAGTAATGTACATTAATCCATTTTATAAATGAAGGAATCCCATTCAACTTTTAAAATAAAATGCATGAATAAAAAAACTTTGCAACCTACTAAACAATGATATATTTCTTTCGGTAGTTTTTATATTTNTTATAGATTTTGAGATAAGGATGTAGTTAAATTTAATTCAGGTTGTTGGCTCCTGTATTGTCTAATAATGGACACTGGTGGTTGTTTAGGTGCGATAAGATAGCCGGCTTTGGTGTGTTAAACTTGCTAAATAATATTGACATCATATTTGGCATTTTTCATTTCATTTCTTATTTTTTTCTTATACATGAAAATCTAGTTTACATTGGTGAGGTTGGATATATTTTGTACGAATGAAAACATTTTTGCTGGAGAAAAAAATAGTAAAAAATAATTATTTATAATGTAAAGTGAATTGACATAGAGAGTAATATGGAAATGTGATGTGATTTATAAAGAAACGTTGAAGCGCATTGTAGTGGTTGGTTTATAATTTAAATTTTTTGCAAAACAGAATTTAAATTAACTTTGTAAGTACAAATATTGCAAATCCCTCATCATGGATTTCATGACCGTGACATCAACGTCCACCGTGTGCTGCTACCTCGCACGAAAGGCCTAGGACGATTGCTAGTTGGCTGTGGCGAATCCCAAGACTTCCTATTTTGGAGGGCTACCATCTGTTTGTCAACAACTTTACCTGTTGATGGATCTATGTGATGTCGCTCGTACGGTGTTTATGTTATAACGAGTGTTAAATTAATATTTTAATTAATATTCTTCATAATATTCTCTTCTTCTTCCTAATATGCTAATCACTGTATGCCATCAACTACAAATTTTTAATGGTTAGTCAACACCATTTTCTAACCACACTCTAATCAATTTCTAACCACTTGATACCATCTTGATCTCATTTGTGTATATATAACACATAAAAAAAACAATTCACATAAAATATACGGCAAAAGTGAAGGGAAAAAGAAGAAAGGAAAAAGAAGAGAGAGGAAAGGAGAAAAAGGGAAGAAAAAAGAGAGAAAGAAAGAATAAAAATATAAAAATATTTATTTGTTATCAAAATAACAAAAGAGATATTTTTATTTTTATTTTGAGTGCTCAATTCTCGACTCCGTTCCAGTTTGCTGGAGCTCGTAAATCTGGTGTGCTACAGATTTAGAGACGTTTGCCGTTGTATCTTTGAAGAAGTTACTCCGAAAGTCACACGGGGCGTATTCTTTTTGCGGAAAGAATTTTACTCGCCTCAGCTTTAATCTTTTCGTTTTAATTTATTTTTCAGTTCGATTGTAATTTTCTAATTTTTAGATTATTTGTAAGAACTGAAAAAAAAAAAAAAAAAAAAAAAATTTGTAAGAACTGAAAAATACATAACAGTTCGTAGGATTCCCGTGTAATTTTACCCCACGGATATAACAGTTTAAGAGTCACCAAAGTTGAACAGACAAGTAAATAAAAAAGTTAATAACTCTCAAATTATCATATCAATAAATCCACCCCTACTAATATTTATAGACCATATATTTATACTAGATATAAGCTTGCGCTACAGGAAATGAACCCTAACAAGAATAGTTATCCTAATTGATAGAATAATAAAATTTAATGAAATTAACCCTCAACTAGATTAGACATTGTCAAATATTATCTAAAATACCACTATATCTCCATGAGGCTACCCACCCACTTTTATATGCAATGATCTTCATGCAAGTTGTGTTATGGTTTTTCAATAGCGTGATCTCACTCCTTAGGCGATTTTCCTCCTTTACACAAAAGAAAAAAGGACAAATGGAAAATATATTACCTAGTTTAACATTGGAATTTACACAATTCTCACAGTTGAAATCTATTTTTTTTGTCAGTATTGCAGGCAGTTGCTAAAGATAACCGCAAATACTTAAGTGTGCCTAGGTACACCTAGCTAGGTGTGCCACAAATGAACATGTTATGTTACAAAATGAACATGTGCAAATCATATTTGTACATGTTCATTTTGTAACATAACATGTTCATTTTAAACTGTCCTGTCACACCTAGCTAGGTGTACCTAGGCACACGGTAGTAGCACTGAAAGATAACATCCTGTCAAGATGTAAGATCATTGCAGAACCCTGGGATTGTGGAGGCTTATATCTTGTAGGAAAATTTTCCAACTGGGATCGGTAATTTTTGCTAATCATCACTTTATGAAGCATTTAACTGGAAACTAACTCAGAGTCGCAGCAAATTGTAAAATGAAGGAATATCTTTTATTGTATTACCTGCAGCAAATATACAGATGAAGAGTTGAATAAACATTCTTTTGAATTTGTTCTGCGCTATTGTTTTGGTTGACACCTGCGGCATTTGTTGAAATCTGCTAATAAAATAGAAGGGTAGAATTCGTAGTTGGTTGTAATTGCATTATCCGAGTGATCACGTTGCACCAGGAAGTAGTTATTTTATTTTGGGCCCTTATTCTGCTTGGCGATTAGATTCCGTACAATCTTTATTTTCTTTTCTTCTCTTTCTCTTTTGTCGTTTTTTCTTTCTTAGAATTTCTTTTTCCCTTACGTAAAATCATGTATCATTTATCTGTATATCTAATTCTCTCTCTCTCTCTCTCTCTCTGTGTGTAGTTGCAGATGCATTTATATGCAAAAAAATCCCCATCTTTTTCTGAATTGTATGTCACTTTTTAATATTTTATTCAGTAGACTCAGAAAATGTTATCTTGAGCTGAACTCTTAACGACATGAACAACTTTTACGTTCCTCATTCTTAACAGTTTGCATTATGCTCTTTCAAGATGAACATGAAAATGTGGATTTCTTGGGCCTACAGGTGGGCCGAATGGAATGGGATTTACCGCGATGATGTTAGAAGATTTATAAAAGTGCTGCAAATGGAAACCCGTTAATAAGATTATTAAGTTTAAGGTCATGGATTTCTCATTTCTGAAACAGTAAATGTTAGGTTGGGTACACTCACAACACGTGGATACTAACGTAATTACTTTATTAGATTAACAAAGTAATTACAGAACACAATATAGACCAAGATACAATACTTCACTTATCAAGACCAAAACACACTAACTATGACATACACACACACACACTTTTACTTAGACTCTTGGATGCTTGGATTATTGGGATACATTGCAAATGAGGTGGTCTTGCCTATTTATAGACAACCCTCCCTCTAATGAGCTATCTAGAACTAGCTACACTCATGAGGTTTCCCTCACACTCTTGCCTCTTCTAGGCTATTCTAAAACTTACTAATATTATGTACAATGTACAATGTTCTAGACTTATCTATATAAGTCTAGTTCCTACAATATTCTACAACATTCTAGTAATCTCTATTACCTTCTAGAATCTTCTACATCCTTCAACTAGCTTCCTCAAACTTCTAGATCCTTCTACAATATTCCGGAACCTTCCACATTTTCCGGGTCGTTCTAGATGCTTCCGGAACCTTCCACAATGTTCCACGACGTTCCACATTTTTCCGGATTGTTCTAGATGCTTCCGGGTCCTTCCCAAAAGAAGGTGTTGATATTTTAACACTCCCCCTCAACACCGACTTTTGCTCGTTCGTTGTTATCGGCCACCTTACGTCGAGAAACGCGTCTTCACATAAGTTTGAGCTTGTAAATATTTTTCTCGTGTACTTTGGGCTTGGTACTCGTACTTTCACTGATCTGTGGACTTGTGGGTTCTTGACACTTGACTGATCTTCTACTCTTATCCAATGCTTGTTGACTTGCCTGTGACTTATTAGCTCGTCTTCAACTCTATCTTCCTTAGCCGATTCTTTTTCACCAGTGTCAGAGATTGGCAGCATTAAGTTGTCAACTGTCACCGTACGCTCTTCACTATATTCTGTCGAATCTGGTAACTCTTTCATGTCTCCTGTTTCGTCACTTGAGCTTCCAAGGTTATCTATCCACTCATCATCTGAGTCAAGCTCAGCGACCGTTGACGTTAAAGCCATCTCGACTTCTTCACCAACTTCTTCTTCTTCAATTACGGTTGACAGTGCTTCAAGATCCCATTCATCTTCACTTTTGTGTGCCTCATCTGATGTGACTGCATTTCCTTCCGCTGGCTTCTTCTTCGACCAACAATTCCTCGCTATGTGGCCTTTCTTTCCACAGTTATAACATTCCCTTCAAATCTTTTACTTTCTTGAGGTTGACCGCTCAAATTTTCTTTCCTTTGTGCTCCCCCTAAATGAGCACTCTTCTCGTCTTCATTTTTGTCGTTGTCGTTTCTTTTCCTCCAATGACAATTTTTATTGTATCGACCTCCGATATTCTTTACGAAAAGTAATTCTTCATCATTCTTGGATGAGGCTTGGAACATTTGCTTAGCTAACGCTTCTTGGTCAGCTAGCAAATTTTCCAACTCTACGAGAGAAGGTTGGGTGGACCAACCTTGCACAGCAGCAATAAAACTTCTATATTCTTGCCTCAATCCATGAATGATTATTCTCCTAATCCGAGAATCCGACATACCAGCAGATGAATCTAAATTAGAAATTTCACGACAAAGAGACTTTACCTTAGCAAAATATTGGTTTATCGTCATGTCTCGTTGCGAGATAGAGAGGAACTCGTTCTCTAAAAGTTGCAACCTCGCATCGTTCCTCTTCGAGAACAACCCCGCGAATGTGTCCCATGCGTCTTTCGGTGTCTTCGCATCTCTAATGTGCTCTAGCATCTCTTCCTCGATGGTGGTCTTGATAGCGAACATGGCCTTGCCAGCTTTAACCTTCCATTTCTTCAAAGCTGCAGGGTCCTCCGGTGGTGTAACCTCACTACCGCTCACAATCTCCCACAAATCTTGGCCTTGCAAATATGATTCCATGTACGTCGACCACGTGCTGTAATTTTGATTGTTAAGCTTCTTGATACTTCCAACCACTTGAAGGTCTCCCATCGTGGCTCCACCCGATCAACTTGCCACACTCTGCAGTAATAAATGCACACGAACTTCGCAGTACGAAACTGCCAAACTACGAGAAGCTTGACACAACAACTCGTACCTCAACCAACGCCAGACTCCGCTCGCCTGGCTCTGATACCACTTGTTAGGTTGGGTACACTCACAACACGTGGATACTAACGTAATTACTTTATTAGATTAACAAAGTAATTACAGAACACAATATAGACCAAGATACAATACTTCACTTATCAAGACCAAAACACACTAACTATGACATACACACACACTTTTACTTAGACTCTTGGATGCTTGGATTATTGGGATACATTGCAAATGAGGTGGTCTTGCCTATTTATAGATAACCCTCCCTCTAATGAGCTATCTAGAACTAGCTACACTCATGAGGTTTCCCTAACACTCTTGCCTCTTCTAGGCTATTCTAAAACTTACTAATATTATGTACAATGTTCTAGACTTATCTATATAAGTCTAGTTCCTACAATATTCTACAACATTCTAGTAATCTCTATTACCTTCTAGAATCTTCTACATCCTTGAACTAGCTTCCTCAAGCTTCTAGATCCTTCTACAATATTCCGGAACCTTCCACATTTTCCGGGTCGTTCTAGATGCTTCCGGAACCTTCCACAATGTTCCACGACGTTCCACATTTTTTCGGATTGTTCTAGATGCTTCCGAGTCCTTCCCAAAAGAAGGTGTTGATATTTTAACAGTGAATAATAAACATTTGATAGTTGGCATATTGTGTGGAATTGTAAATTCTATCAAAATCTATGTTGGGGATACCCTTGTGAATGAAAGGAAAGGAAGGTAAAATGGCCACAATTAGTTTATGTGATAAGGTCATCTAGAGCGATGTACCCAAAAAATAGGTTTGTTCTAGAAACACATCTTTGCCACATCAAAACTTATAAACCCATTTCTTGCACCTTAACCATAAACCTACTAGGGACCGTCTACCGTCAGGTACCCCTCGTACCTACCTAACATCAGGTACCCTCTTATATCATCATTAGATTGACTCAAAAATCAATATCAACCATTAGATTCAAGGTACGAGGTTGGTACGAGACAACCAAAATTCTTTTTGCCTCATACCAACCTCGTACCACCTTGTACTTATAAAAAACCTTTAATACCCTTATATCATTAAAAATTAAAATAAATTATAAAATAATAATTATATTTATTTTAAAGACCTTACATTTATCTAATTTGTATGACAATCCTTTAAATACAAAAACATATCATCTAAACCTTAATTTACGAATTAAAAATCAACATCAACGTCTTCGTCTTCGTCTTTCATCTTCAGCCATCCTCACTGCTGTCTATCCTTATGGATCTTAAGTGGTTCTCAGAATTGGGCTTTCCCGTACTCCTTTTCACCTTTTATCCTCTGCCCTCAAATTCGTCTTCATTACCTCTTCCCTTCTTTCTTCTTTTTCTTCCAACGATTTACCCCAATTCTCCACCTCCTTATTTCGATACACGGCGGCTGAAGGATGGCTGACCGAATCTCCGTACTTATGACTCTTGCAGCTCAGATCTATGGTGGCCCCAATTCTCCGTACGGATGACTCTTGCAACAAGCAGCTCCGGGAATCAGGGCGGCGGCGCTACGGGCGTCGTCCAGATCTCGCAGTTGGCCGCAACTCGCCGGTCGAGGCAGGAGCTGGCTGGTAGGCTCGCTGACCGTGTTAATTTGGTTCTATCTAATTTTCGTTAAATTGAACCAATTTCTCTGTATTTTTTATTTTTACTTTTATTTACCGATCTTGTATGGGTCTGACGGGGATCATGGTTGTAGACTCTCATCAAATCGCAAGTGGGCGGAGTACAAGATAGAGAGCGGAAGCGGAAGCAAGCGGAGGTCGAGGTGAGGTGGGAGCTGGAGAACAGAGAGAGGAGGGAGAGAAGCATGAGAGGGATTGCGATACGGATTAGGAATTGAATGTTTGTGGTGAAGAGGCGTGGCAGAGGAGGGCAGCTATGAGCGGTGGCGGAGGAGGTGGCGTGCGGAGGTCTCCATAGCCACCCCCGTGGGGAAACGACAAAGGAAATGGGTTCGACATCGTCAAATTGGAGAGCTGGGGATTGGGGCTGTGGGTGGAAGGGAAGATGACAGTAACATAGAGGATGATGGCGAAAATGGGTTGGAAGGAAGGCCAATTTCGGGAAAGCAGGAACAGGGAATTACGACGCCTCTTGTGGCCAAGAAGACGGATAAGAGAGGTGGGGTTATAGTGAATACCGGTGAGTTGAGCAAGAAGGTGAAGAGCGTTAGTTTCAATGGAACTCCCATCCGAACTGTGCTTCTAAGAAACATGGTATGGATTTATTGTTTTCAGGATTAAGTCTGCTCAACTGGTTATGGTGTTTTTGTCTCCTTAATTAACTTATTGAGCTCTGATATTGTGATATTTGTGGTTGCTTTTGTTTGAGTTAGATTCTTTTGTTGTAGTTGATTATCTCATTTAAAAAAAAAAAGTTAAGACCGATTTCTGTGGAGTTGAGTTGAACACTGGTAGAGATGAATTGTATTGTTGCTATCGTTTGAGTTAGTTGAACAATAAATTGATCATCAATAGAACTATTTCATGGTCCTTGTCTTAATTTGCAAAGCGAAAAATTAAAAACAAATAAAAAAATGATGGATCTTAAATTGTTTATACTACGAAATCTATGTTATTATTTGTTCTCAATGCTATCAATGTTCATTGCATCAAATTATAATGTCATGGAAACAGAACTACAAAATAGAACCCATCTCCTTTAAAACTTCCTCTATAGTCTTACTACAGATAAGCTGCGCCACATTGTTCAATCTTTCCCTTCTGACATCCGACATTTGGGCAGTTGTAGTTAGGACATTCATCTACAAGCAAAAGGCACACCTCGGATTTCTTTCCTTTTATTGTTAGTTTTATTTTCTTTAGAGCTTACGTATTTTTTATGTACCCTGTTTAATGCTACTTTTCTGCATATTTTTCGGGCTTTGAAAACGTGCAGGTTGATTGGTTATATTATCCGGCCTTTCTGCTCGTCGTGGCCGGGATTTTCTTATACTCGAAAATGTGAGCTTTACCTATTGAGTATTTTGGAAATATCCTAAAATTGTAGCAATCATATTAATGGAGATGATATTGTGCACAACGGAGAGAAGGGCCCAGAGAGGAGTCCAGCCATTGAGGATACAAATTTTGACTCAGAATATCAACACCTCATTGGGGAAGAAAATTCAAGTCCTGTGAAATGATTCTGTTTACTAATTCATTAAGAAATTAATGTTTATACTAAGTGGATGATATAAATAATGGATGCAGTTTTTTTTTTTTTAGTCTGCATATTAGATTTCTTGTTGTAATCCATAAATAAGATTAGTTTGTGTATTGGTTGTTTTCAAGAATATTGGTTCAATTGGATATGCTTTTGCTTTGAAAATCATGAAATTTATTAGTGTGATTAGATATGCCTACGAATTTGGTGTATTTGTATTGTACCATATAAACTTGAAAAATAAATGCCAAATAGCAGTATTAACAACAATTTTAAAATTTAAATTACATAATGTTAAAATGTTAAAGTAAACCTATGCGAGTTATTGAAAAATATGAAAATGCAATTAAAAATATGAGAACAATTAAATTTTGAATGTATACATGCTTAATAAATTGAATCGTAAAATAGCATCAAAATAAAATGAGAAATAGATATAACAAGTATTATTACAATTTTAGTGTTCTAATTGCTCATCTGACCCTTTATCTATCTACATTTGAAAATGTTGAGCGAAGGACAAAAAAGTGTTATGAAAAATTACTATTAATAAGACTGAATACATAACACTAAGGAATAAACTAAGGAAATGATAAGATAAACAATGAAAAATATTTCAAATACTAGTTCATGATATTATTAAATGTCACATTTGTCATAAAGTTTAAATAGTTAGTAGAAACATATTTCTAATTATGAAAATTGATCATAATACCTATTAAAAATATGAATTGAGTAGATTTTGGGAAAATGAAAACTAATGACGCTAATCATTTACTTTATAATTTAAATAAATAATTTATAAGCTTCTTTTATTTAAATAAATTTTTGTAAGCACTATAATTTACTTTATAATTTATTTAAATAAGCTTATATATTTACATAATTATCTTCTAATAAGTTGAGCTCTTAAAAAAATCTCGAGCTTGTTTTAAATGATTATTTAGGTGAAAATTAAAAATACTCATTGAAAATTTTATTTATCAAGGTATTTTTATAAAAGAAATAATAATATATTAACTAGCTGATAATTTGTTATACGCTTAAAACTAGTTTATCAACTAGTATCAATTATCCACATTAATACGCTTATACCGGAATTCATTGATATTTGGATCACTTCTAGATAGTTTTAAATAGATATTTCTAAGGTTAACTTTGTAATTTTGAATTGTACCCGACCATCAAACATTAATTTATTAATATATTATTTTCATTTTTAATAATATCATCATGACAAATGATATATTCAATGGAGATTTACCTTTTTTTTACAGTTAAGTAAACTACATTTTAAAATTTTCATTAATATTTAATTATTAATTAAGTTAGTACGATTCAAACATAGTTATTCTGATTATATTATTAAATATTTTAACTACTTCAGAACGGTGAATATCATTAATTAAATTAATATCAACAACCATAGATGATGATATATATAATCAAATCAATTTTTATAATATTTTTTTGAATTATGTCAATAAGTTACTCTGAAATAAATATAAAGATCTTATTGAAAATATATCTAGTCAATCTACGGTCAAAATAATTTTATTTAAGACAATTTACCGCTCATTCTATTTCGAAAAAACGTATATATCATTGAGTAGTCCGACGATTCAACAAATATTTCGTATGTAATATGAGATCTAGAAGAGATCCAAATTTATCGGTAAATCCCTGTATAAGTGTATTAATGCAAGTACCAAATTCGTCTATTGTCTTATTGTTTTAATTTTCTTTTTCGTCTTTTTCAAATCTGAAATCTCAACCTCGAAATAGCATAATACTTTTTCGTAATCTTGTTGGCAAGATCAACCGTGAACAAATAGTATGAAAACATATAATACATGAATATAACAAATTTTATTTTATTTTTCAATATATATAACGTTCATTCTATTTTGAATAGACGTATATATGATTGAGCATTCCGACGATTCAACAAATATTTATGGTAAGTTGTAGCAAATGTAGTTAGAAACTATGGAGTTAATTGATACTAGTCGATGAGCTAGTTTTAAGTTTATAACAACTTATCAACTAATTATTATATTATTATTTCTCTTATAAACATACCTTAATAAATAAAAATATCAATGAGTATTTTTACATTAGCATAGCTTTTTTTAAGAGTTCAACTTACTAGAAGATAATTATTAAAATATAGAAGCTTATTTAAATAAATAATAAAGTAAATGATAGTGCTTACAAAAATTACTTTATTTATTTTATTTTATAAATGTCAATGATTAAATATAAAATATATATTATTATTATTATTAATGTGTGTTTATTTTCTCAATAATTTTTTAATTATTGAAAATTATCTTCTAATATCAATTACCCACCTTTGGAAACCAAAATAATTGAAATAAGCGCCATTTTTTAGAAAGAAAAATATTAGGCGGCAATATCCCTTTTGGCTTTTGAGGTCTGAATCTGATCCATAGACCAAGGCAGTGAAGGAGACATTCAGTCGAAAATTTTTTATTCATTCCTTTGTAGAAAGCCGCCGAAATATGACGAATGTGATATTACACTTCGAGTTGAATACCGGCGCGACGGTTTCCTTAGTCGGGCTCGATACGTGGCAGGTGGAGCCCGGCCTCGTTGGCCAAGCTGTTTCAACAGCTATCAAGGTCCGTGTATAGGTTTCTGTATACATTTTTTAGCAATTTTTGTTTCATTTTGGAGTCTCACTCGATTATTTTTTATTTTTTTTTTTAATTTTTGGGTGATCCTAAATGCCATCACTTTAGTACTATTTTTATCTTTCATTTTGATATTCTGTTGTGTGTGGGTGGTTCCAAATGTTGCAATTTTAGAGCTATTTTCTTCAATTGATGGGTGGTCGGTTTAGAAACGAGTTGCTCATGATCCGAGTTGAGATCTGCTCGTTAGGCTAGAAAAATTGGGTTTTACTTAGTTTTATGAACTTTTAATACAATTCAGCTAGTTTCGAAATGAGCTGCTTATGAGCCGAGTTGAGATTGTGCTAGTTAAAGGCTCGTTAGGCTTGAAAAACTGGGAGTTTACATAATTTTAAGAACTATTAACAAAATTCGGCTAGTTAAGATAAATGATCGGAGCTCGATCTTGAGCTCGTTTAAGCATCGTCATATGGAATGTGCTCGATTTATTAATCAAATTTTATGAAACTGATTAGTTTCTTGTACTTATTCTCATTGCCATTTGGTTATCGTCATATTGACTGTGCTTGAGCGTACGACAATGTAAAGGAGCTAAGGTATTGTTTCTGATTTTTGCTCCATGCCCTTAGATTCTCCAGATGGGTTTACTTTTAATTGATTTGAGCCTGAAACATGTGTTGTTTCATATTTGGTGCTGCAGGTAATCTGCACTAGAAGATTGTCTGTATTTATATTCACAGGAGTGGAATGTAAATTTGGTCGACTTTTGTATTACGAAATTTATTCATTTAGATAATTTTTCAGAGTCTAGATAAAGAAAGTGTCTAGATAATTTTTTATTTTTTTCTTTCTTTCATGTTCTGCAGGTGATGTAGAAGATGAAGAGCAAACATGTAGCAAGCACCATCACCTAGAAGAAGGAAAGTAATGAACCCTAATTAAATTCATTGATCATTAAAACGAGATTCAATATTGCAATATACAATAGATGTTAATGCCAGCATCTTATTTATTTTGTGTTTGTAGATGTCGCTGTGGATGTTTGTAAGGACATGCTCGCATGGCTGGACCAACATTTTTTATGATGGAGAGCAAAGGCGGTATTTTAGGCTAAAGACACAGGTCCGTGGGGGAGTTTGAGTGCAAGCACGCAAGAGTACGAAATGTGGATCACAAGGCGTCTCGAGGCTTCTTGCGGTTGTTGCATAGAAGAAAATGAAGCATTACAAGTAGTGTAATGGTTTGAGTAGCTTTGGGCCTTTGAATGTTACAAGTTTGTGTTTAGCTGACTTAAAGTTTGTTTGTAAGTAGTACCAGGATTGTTATGCCTTAGGCTTTTCTTATTTTGTTCACCCCTTTGCAAGTTGCTTGTTTGATATTATCTTTATTTTATTTTGACTTACTTGTTCATCTCAATTCTCAAAGCTAAACCAAGACATGCTCACATGGTGTTGGATATGGTTTCTGTTTGATAGCCTTAAGTTTCAAACTGAATATGACAAACTCGTGAACTTTGATGATTATTTAAAATATTTGAATAAATAATTATTCAAACACGAACAAACGTGAACTTTAACGAAAAATGAAGGAACTCAAACGTTATTTTCCACTCGAATAATAAACAAATGAATACGATAGTGCTCGGACATAATTAAGCACTAGCTCGAAATGCTTAAACTTGGCTCGTTTGCTTCGATTACAGTACTAATTTGATAGCCTTATCTTGAATATTGCATTAAATTTGAAACATAATTTCAATATTGCTCAAAGTTGTTTACACTAATTGAGATATATAAGCTTTTTCCCCATGAGTCACCTCCTGAAGAGGAACTCAATTTTTTGAGCAACAAAATTAGGGGAAAAAATATTACCATAACAAAAAGTCCCTCAAATGTATTTCACGAATTCAAACTCAAGACAAGTTCACATGGTAAGGAATTCAAAATCTCTTCAGTACACAAATTTGATTCTCCCAAACTCCAAACATATTAAACTCAATCGTGAGCCTTGTGTTTCTCAGCAGACTATCCATGATCCATCAGATAGGGTTTTCCTTGAAGTTGGGATATAACTTTGTGGTTTCACCATTACTGCACTTCATGCAGCCATATTAGGTTCTCCAACTTATGATCAGTCCATATAATCAATGCACAATTAGCATTTTATCCTGCATAATTATAATTTTCTTCATATTGTAGAAACAAAATGACTGAACAACTAGCTAATTTGTTACAATGTTGCTCACAGTTTACATGAAAATTCAAAAAGAATTAACCAATGAGTTCATCCCAAACCCAAGTTTTCTCTCGATATAATCCATTTCATAGCAAACAACATGACCACCTTCTCCTGAGTATCAGAAAAGAAATAAATAAAAAGCCAGATAAGTACAATAAGCCAAGTACTGAAAAGAAAAAGACCTCAGACTCCCCAAGACATATAATCTCTATAAACTGTTCTTGCACCAAACAGAAAGGCATCAGAATCTGATGTGAAGCATCCATCCAAATGATCAAAGTTAATCCAAAAATCACATGAGAGTTATTTCATGAAACAATGTCTCGTAATAGGCAAGATAAAACCATTGCTCGAAATCATACACACATTAGAATTATTGTCTAGTTAGTTTTCCGGCTAACTCGAGCTCCCGCCAGAGCTTCTGCCGATGCCCAACGCGTCCTTGGCGGCCTTCAAAATCCCGACGTCGGGGCCGATTCGCTATCCCGGCTGTGAGATTCAACAGGGAGAGCAGCGATTTGAGGATTTCGCTATCCCGATGTCGGGTCCGATGTAGGGTTTGATAGCCTAATAACATAGCCCTCAGATTTGATTTCAATGACAGAACCCCATCCCTATTTCCTCACAAAACCAAACTGCCATAGTCTCTCAAGTATCTTTTGGCGAAGAAGGAATCAAAACCACGAGCCATACACAGAAGCGACCAATGAACAGATGATTTCTCATTATCGGCGACCAAATACAACCCGCTGATCTAGTTTTCCACTTGATAATTTTCCACTTGATGGGTGATAGCATATTAAAATTCGGCTGTTGCCATCAATTAATTTGCAGTTAATATAGCACCTATTTCATTTGTTTGACCATTTTCGAGTATGTAAATAAGAAGCAAAAGAGAAGATGAAGAAGAAGCAAATCCCAATAAGATCGACCCCCAGAAAAGATGAAGATCGACTGATCGAATTCATCTCAAAATCGGTTTTCTTCGAATCCTGATTGACATAAATTATCAAATAAAGAACAATTTAAAGGTGAAGTGGGATAATTTTGTCAGCAAAAGAAGAAAATATGAAGTTTGATTGATCGAATTCGCTACAAATGCAATTTAGTGAGAAGTTGTGATTTAATTGAAATATTTAAAGGTGTTTAGGTAAAATAATAATATAAGAATAATTAAACACCTATTATATAAATATTACTAGTAGTTAAATAATATATTTTATAATTTGTTTTAAGTAAGGGTAGTTTAGTATTTACACAATGTTTATTTTTATTTTTTATTTAATTAATTAAAAAATAGGACACGTGGCATCAATTTAAAGGGTACCTGATGTTAAATAGGTACGAAGTTGGTACGAGGCGAATCTGACGGTAGAATATCCCAACCTACTATAGTTTGTTACGATATATTTTTATTCTTTTTTTAATTTATTAAATATGCAATTATCTCTATCTCTCTCCTCTCTCCTCACATAAAACTAGCTCCTTTTGCCACGTTGTGGTTTAGATTTTGCTGACAGCTCAATATTTTGTAAACCTCCATAGGATATCTAACACATGATAAACATTGGTCAGTGGAGATAATGGAAGCTTTCTGCCCACTTCTGGTCCGGGTTTATGGTAGTTGTTTTGTGTAACTTCTCTACTGAATTTTTTTTTTTTTTTTGCTTGGATGATTACTTGAAGACGATAATAACTGAGTTTAGTTTTCTGTGGTTCCATCTTTACTCACTAAATCAAGTTTGACTGTTTGAGATTTTTGGGAGTTGCTTTGGCTGAAGCTTTTCCTGTCATTCTTTAATTTCCTGATTGCTCAAATTATTCTCTCTTTTTTTGTGTTTTGAGAAAAATATTGTTTTCTGCTTAGGGTGAGAATGGCATGAAAGGAAGTTTTGCTACTAGAGTTGCTGGTTCTGCTGATTTGTACCGAATAAGCGATTCTAACTAGTTGCTTGTAACATTTGCTCTAAATTGTTATCTGCGGTAACCATTGCTACGAGGGTTGTTACCCTTAAGATTTAATGTGTCACTCAGTTATGGGCTTAATACTATGTTGTTTTCTGTTTTCTTAAAGATGACTCATGTAATGTATCACTCGACTATGGGCTTAATGCTATGTTGTTTTCTGTTTTCTTATAGATGATATCTACTTTGAAATTATTTTTATTGTTATTTTACTATTCAATTGGATGGAATTTTGACAATTCTCAACCGTCAAAACTGTACAATTGACGAAATGGGGCCAGAAGGACTGTCATTTCATTCATAACCAAGATCTTGTCTATTTTGTGTGCTTATCTACAATGTGTTTGGAACGATGAAATGTTACATAGTCAAAAGAAAGAGGAGATGAAAGATCAACATATTTCCTGCAAAATCCATGACTTTTGTCTGTGCTAGTAAAATTGAGAAAGATGGAGGCTGCATTAAAATTTGTTTAGATTTTCACCAGTCTAAATTAAATTTGTGAAACAAATTAACCTTTTAGCATATTTTTATCAAACAAGCTCAAGGAAAAAACTGAATCATTTCCCATTTCAACAATTAAATTGCACGACATACTTGCGTTTTTTAAAAATACAAGAACTATCTATCATTTGCTTCCTGTTGAGTGTTGCCAATGCTCTTCTGATGTGTGTTTAATTTTGAAATGATCTCGTTCTTCAGTAGTCTCGTGAATGTACAATCAAATTATTTACTGGTTATTACTCATATAGGTAAACAAGCGAAAGCCATGGCATGGTGTCAATTTTGTAATTGCACATGACGGATTTACTCTATATGACCTTGTGTCTTACAATTTTAAGGTATCACATGCCAGTTTGATTTCCACTTTCCAGCTTAATTTGGTTGATTTTAATATTAGCTGTACATTTACTGTCACCCTGTTGCTGAAAATCTAGCACAATGATGCTAATGGTGAAGGTGGAAATGATGGAAGCAACGACAATTCTAGCTGGAACTGTGGCTTCGAAGGTAGAATCTAAATATCCTTATCTATTGCTCTAAATCTAATTAGTTTAGTTTCTTATAAATACATTTTCATGGTATGAACTATAAAATATTTACTTGCACTTACTCCATGCGGTTTTAAGTTGTTCAAGCTGTTTATTTAAGTCATTTGACAAATAATGGTTAACTTATGCTTTCCAATATGTCTATACTTGTTAACGGGGTCGGTGTAGAACTCATTCCGAAAGGCTAGCTCAAAGGGACAGAGTGCCCGACCCAAAATATGGACTATAACATGCCAAACTTAGCTATGTGGAACAAAATTACTTGTAATACCCGCTCTCACGCATAGCATGCCAATCTAAATTGGTCACCCCACATTGCTTCTAAACAAACAAAACTGGGTGCTCTAATACCATGTTAAAAGGGTCTGGGTCCATACCCAAAAACAGTTACCTTAAAAGGAGATGGTGCCCGATCCACTCTTAAACATGATAACAACCTAATACTTTCCACCTAGCGATGAGCGATGTACGAAAAACATACCTTCTAACAATACGCACGCCGCAGGGTGTTTGTTATTTTACATGCTTTATTGTTTCATCCTAATGAGTAATGACTTCTCAATGTTTTTGTGACATGATGAATGCAATCTCACTAATTGAATCCTTCTGTTGCAACCTTACTGTAGGAATAGTTGAACTCCAAAAGTTACCCTTTGGCCTATATAATTTACTCTGCTGTTCTAGAGGTTGCAGTCTATTTTCCTGCAAGAAGTAAACTAGGAGGTAAACAATTCATTAAAAGCTGGAACATATTGAGTAGTAGAAAATTCAGAACATATTAGTTGCAACCAGAGAAATGGCGAGAATCAAATTACAAGTTGTTCCAAAAAGAATAACTATGAAATACAGTAAACTGTGAATACATTTGGATTGGTATGTGGCTTTGGCATTCCATTGGACCTATTATGTAATATCCAATATCTGGGTCTTTAAGATGATTTCATAATGCTTATTATCGGAACTTTTAATTTCTCTATCTAATTGATTCCTTTCTTGAATTTCAATATTTGCCATGAAATTTTGTCGGTTACCTACTTAGCTGCAAAATCTTCTGAGAGGTTTGTTTGGATCTGAGTAAGGATTTTATTCTACAGTCTCTGATTGTATACTTTGCAGTGATCTTCTTTTGCTCCTTGTCTTGTAAAAATTTGTGATATTTAATGTTCAAAGGACGTGTTCTCTTTTCAAGTAGAAACCACAGTTGATTTGAATAAGAATGTTTTTCATTGCCGAATCTTGAAGCACCTGCATGTATTTTCTGAAATGTGTTGGTGGAATTATCAGTCTATTGGTCTTGGGTTTGGGATGCTTTATTATCTTTTTCAGGGGAAACAGAAGACACGTTTGTAGAGCTAGCTCTATGTCGCAGTGTAATCGGGCTCTTAAGTCGGTTTAGGATAATATGGACTAGAATAAATAAACCGGTTTGGTTTTTCTCTGTTTTACTCAATACGGCGTCGCTTAGTTTGGTTCCAATAATTGCTGTAATGCGACACCGTTTTGTTTTCTGAGCATTTGCTGTAAATGCACTCATGCATGTACGATTGTGACATACAGAAATAGAAAATACCTTACCGCATTTTTCTCTTCCAATATTCCTTCTTCAAGTTTCTACATGGTATCTAGAGTTTGTACCGATTCTGCGGATTTTTGAAGCTAATCATCCATGGCGAATAATCGTTCCACTGACGCATGGCCATTGCTCAACGCGCGAGCTAGTGGAAGCTCAGAGACGCGCGAGGATAATCCATTATTTCTCAGCGGATCTGATAGTCCCGGTATGCAGCTAGTGTCTCATCAGCTAGATGGATTGAATTTTTTGGCTTGGAAACGGTCGATGATGATCGCGTTAGGAGCCAAGACAAAGCTAGGGTTCATAAATGGATCTATTGCGATTCCGCAAATGGATGATCCGAATTTTGAGAAATGGCAGAAAGTGGATTGGACTGTCATTTCATGGATATTGAACTTGATGATAAAGGAAATTGCAGATGCATTCCTTTATGCGGATACCGCGAAGCTTCTCTGGGACGAGATTTGCCAACGGTTTGGAGAAAGTAACGGTCCTCTCATTTACCAGCTACAGAGAGACATATCAAGTTTAAAACAGGGAAATGATTTAATCATGACCTATTTCAACAAATTGAAGAAGATGTGGGGTGAGCTAGGGTGTTTGGTGCCTCAGCTGACGTGTAAATGTGACATAGGGAAAGCCATAGCCGAGCAAAACGTGCAAGCAAGGATGATGCAGTTCTTAATGGGGCTCAATGAGAGTTTTGACCAAATCAGGTGCTATTGATGGATCCCTTACCCAATGTGAATCGTGCATATTCTATGGTGTTGTCTGCTGAGAGACAAAGGTTTGTACACTCAACCTCTGGTGATATGAATAGTTCTATGGCCATGACAGTAAAATACAAAGTGCCTTATAAAGAAAGCAACACAAGACCACAGTTTCTTCCTCAAAAGGTTAACAAAGAGGGACAGAGACTATCAGAAGAAGAGAAGGCTAAATTGTTTTGTGAACATTGTGGGAGAAATGGCCATGACAAAAGCACTTGTTTTAAGATATATGGATACCCAGAATGGTTCAAAGAAAGAAGACCTAAGGGAACTGCAAATGCGGTACAGACAGAAGATGGCATGAGATCTCAGTATGTCAAAGGAGTTCCTCTAACAGATATCACAATGCTAGCACAAGAGGTGGCAAAGTTATTGGGCAATGACAAAGGAAAGTCACACAAAGAAGAAGAGAATTATGTGAATTTTGCAATTAACAATGAGGTGGAAGAGAGATAGTATGCATTGTCCATGTTTGACAAAGTAAAAGGAGAAGATTGGGTGATAGACACTGGAGCCAGCAAACACATGTGCACTAACAAGGATATAATGCAAAATATCACTGTCTTGAGAACACCTATTGCTGTGTACATGCAAGATGGAAATACAAAACTGGTTACACAAGTTGGAAATGTCAGAATTTCACCAGAACTTATACTATATTATATGTGCCATCTTTCAAATATAACCTCATGTCAGTGACTCAGACTTGCATGAATACTTCAATAAGGTGCACCTTTGGTGCAGAAGGCTGCAACATAGAATGCATAGCAACAGGAAGGAGTTTGGGAAAAGAAAAATTGAGGGACAAACTTTATATACTGGACTGTGACAGAGAAATGAAGGAAGTGGGTTTTAACTGGAGAATTGGCACCGGATACTTGGGCATGCCTCCTTTGGAGCATTAAAGCAGCTGGGATTTCTCAAAACACAATGTACCACAAAAGGTGAGAAACTGCTAAAGAGATGTGAAATTTGTTTTAAGGACAAACAACATAGATTATCATTCCCTATGAGCAACATTCATTCATCTAGTTGCTTTGATCTACTACATGTGGACATTTGGGGGCCCTGCAGAGAAAATTCTGTCACTAACACACCATATTTTCTCACAGTGGTAGATGACTTCAGTAGAGCTGTTTGGATATTCCTTATGACTACTGACTACTAAAGGAGAAACAACAAATCAGTTAAAGAATTTCATTGCAATGGTTGAAAATCAGTTTGACAAGAAGGTCAGACAAGTCAGAAGTGACAATGGGCAAGAGTTTATAGGAATTCAATGTCAGAAATTATTTGAAGAAAAGGGAATTGTTCATCAAAGGGCATGTGTCTACACTACACAACAAAATGGTGTTTTGGAGAGAAAACACAAACACATTCTTGAGATACCAAGAAGTTTGATGTTCCAGTCAAACTTGGACATGAAATACTGGTCTTATTCAGTCCAAGCTGCAGCACATATAATAAACAGACTACCTAATAGTGTGCTCAACTGGGAAACTCCTTTTGACAGAGTTTACAATGAATCACCAGATTACACAAGACTCAAACCTTTTGGTTGCTTGGTATATGCAGCAAATACCAATCCAACCAAAGGCAAATTTGATCCCAGGTCACACAATGCTGTTTTTCTTGGGTATGCAAAAGGATGCAAAGGCTACATATTGCTTGAGCTTGAAACTGAGAAAGTATTTGTCTCAAGAGATGCAGTGTTTATTGATGAGGTTTTTCCTTACAAGTCTCATCACACTGAAAGGGAAACACCTTTACCACTCATTCTGGATTCCCCTCTACAAACTCCTGAAGATGATCAACATGAGATTACACAAATCACTGAAGAAAATCAGCATGACCACTCACAAACCACTGGAGATGATCATTCTCAACAACACAATGTGGAGCAATTACCCACAGTGGAAGGAGAACTAGAAAGAAGCCAGCTTGGATGACAGACTATGTTTGTGACTCAAACCAAAACTGTGCAGCAGCTTACCTGGCAAACATTGAAGTAGATCAAGAACCCACACATTTTCAGCAAGCTGTAATGGATGAACATTGGATAAAGGCCATGAATCTGGAACTAGAAGCCTTGGAAAACAACAACACCTGGGAGTTATGCCAATTACCAAAGGGCAAAAAGGCAATAGGGTCAAAGTGGGTCTACAAAATCAAAAGAAAGGCAGATGGAATTGTGGATAGATATAAGGCACGGCTAGTGGCAAAAGGGTTTTCACAAATGGAAGGTGTAGACTATTTTGATGTGTTTTCCCCAGTAGCCAAGCTTGTGACTGTTAGGTTCTTCATGGCTGTGGCTGCTATCAAAGGATGGTCCATATGGCAATTGGATGTCAACAATGCCTTTTTGCATGGCACATTGTCAGAAGAGGTGTACATGAAATTGCCACAGGGTTACACTAAAGGGACTACAGGGCAGGTCTGCAGATTAATTAAAAGCATCTATGGGTTAAAGCAAGCTTTTAGGGAGTGGAATTGTGAACTGTCTAAGAGACTACATGAATATGGTTTAACTCAGTCATCACAAGACCATTGTCTCTTTACACAGCACAAGGATGGCCACTTTTGCTATGCTAGTCTATGTAGATGATGCTCTGATCATGGGATCTAATCCAGCAGAAATCAGTTCTCTCTAGGCTTACCTTCATAATCTCTTTACTATCAAAGATTTGGGGATTGCAAAATACTTTCTTGGCATTGAAATTTCAAGAACTGAATCTGGTATTCAACTGTGCCAAAGGAAATACATTATGGACTTACTCACAGATATGGGAATGACTGATTGCAAGGTCTCATACACTCCCTTACCTCAAGGTCTTAGATTAATTGGTTTTGATGGCCAACCTTTGGCAGAACCTGATCAATACAAGAGACTCATAGGAAGACTCCTTGACTTGAACATGACTAGGCCTGATGTGAGTTATGCTGTCCAACAATTGAGCCAGTTTGTCAATAATCCTTTTAGTGAGCATTGGGATGCAGCTACATCAGTACTCAGATACCTCAAAGGTTCCATAGATCTTGGGCTGTTCTTTAGTTCTACCTTTGCACCATCTTTAAGTGCCTCTTGTGATGCTGATTGGGCAACTTGCAAAGATACACGTTGCTCAATCACTGGTTATTGTGTATTTCTTGGTGACAGTCTTGTGTCTTGGAAGAGTAAAAAACAAGTTACCGTTGCAAGGTCATCGGCTGAAGCCGAGTACAGATCTATGGGCACCACTGTCTGTAACGGATTTACTCACTAGCCAAGGACTTTGATATGCTACCACCTCTGCCAATTACTCTCTGGTGTGATAATAAGGCTGCCATGCACATTGCAGCTAATCCTGTCTTCCAAGGACAAAGCACTTGGAGATTGACTGCCACATCGTGCGAGAGAAGTACAAATCTGGTTTTGTCAAGCCTGCTTATGTCCATTCTTCAGCTCAACTTGCCGATTTCTTTACCAAACCCCTGCCACTGCTGGTTTCAAGCGCTTATTGTTCAAGTTGGGTGTTTGTGATCACTCCCACACTCCAACTTGAGGAGGGGGTGTAGAACTGAGCTAGCTCTATGTCACAGTGTAATCGGGCTCTTAAGTCGGTTTAGGATAAATATGTACTAGAATAAATAAACCGGTTTGGTTTTTCTCTCTTTTACTCAATACGGCGTCGCTTAGTTTGGTTCCAATAATTGCTGTAATGCGACACCGTTTTGTTTTCTGAGCATTAGCTATAAATGCACTCATGCATGGACAATTGTGACATACAGAAATAGAAAATACCTTACCGCATTTTTCTCTTCCAATATTCCTTCTTCAAGTTTCTACAACGTTTATCTACGCATGCGGCAAATGAAGAACTTCCACGTGGCGCTGATGATATCCCAGGTAGGCATGGTTTTGAAGATGTATCAAGAACCCAAATGTTGAAACATCACAAATAACTCTCATCTGAATTAGTTCATTCCAGTATTACGTTTCATTGCAGCAGAGGTCGACATAAGAGGCATTCTGCTATTTTCTGCTGCATGCCTTTTGTAAACTTTACTTCCGATTGTTGATTAATTCATTGATTGCGATGAATTATATTACCATAGTATTTGGCTGCTCTCTGTGATATGTTTGTGCTTATTATATTATTTCTCTTTTCTTTACATGAGGCTGCCTGTGTACTATATTTTCTTACAACCAAAACTTTTGCTCTCAGCTTCAGTACCATAGTTGTTTACTTTGCTAGTCTCATCTTTTCGACATCATCCTTTTCCAGTTTACTGATCAGTTTTTCTTCGTCATCAGTAGGATCAGACTCCAAGTTTGTGTTTTGTATCATTTATTAGAGATGTTGGAGCTTATGTGTCTTCATTCTTACATTTAAGCTATCATCTAACTTTACATCCATCATACTTTTCTGTTGAAATGAGAATAGTAATATACGTATCTGAATCAGTTCTGCTTGTGAATGTTCATATGTTTGTCCTTTGTTAATTGTTATTAGGGAACTCCAATGATGCTAATGGGGGATGAATATGGTCATACCCGATATGGAAATAATAACAGCTATGGGCATGATAATGCTCTAAATCATTTTCAGTGGGGACAAGTATGTGGTTTTTTAGTTTTTACTCGGATCTCTCTGTATATATTGTATCCGTTGTTTGTAATGTGGGATCAAAATTTGATGACAGCTAAAAGACATGAAGAAAGATCTGGTTAGGTTTTTCTCAGAGATGATTAAATTTAGAAGTGGTCATCATGTCTTTACAAGAGAAGATTTCATTGGCAAGGTAACATTTTTATCTTCAGATGTCTGAGTTGTCAGTTCCATTTGGCATGGATTTGTGTTGCTTTCATTGGATAAATTGCACTTGATCGTTGTGCTAGCAAAATGTTTCGAGCAATAATACAACTTTTTGGAGGTCCATCGAGTTTGCCACTATACTTATCTTTATTTTGAGTAACCTTTATCTTTGTGTTGCTCCATGCTCTTCACCTTATGCCTGGGACATATCAAATCTCATTAGTAATATACGAACTTCCATAGGTTGGAATTTAATGCTCGGTTTTAGTCTATCATGGCAGAAAATTCTAGGTGCATGTAAAATAGATCCTTTAAATTTTTGTGCACTGGTTAAGTATGAGCTTAACCTGTTATGTAGAAAGTCCTGCTTTGGGCTGTGACACTTCACAAATGCAACAATTAATTCTAAGCAAATTAGTTTAGAAGACTCCAAGCACAATATGTGATGAGTATCTCAGTGAATTCTTTAATTCGTATGTGGTGCATGTCTTATTTGGCAAGACGGATTCATATGCAGTATAGGATTAGAGTGTGGATGGTCGTAGCATGTTTCTAATGGAATTGATTGCAATTAGATGTGAAATAGACCACATTCAGTTACCTGTTGGAAAGAGGTTTGTGGGGGCCCTGTTCATGTTACCGGACCTTTTTCATTTGCTGTTATAGCTGAAAGTTGTTAACTTAGTACTCTTTTTTCAGGATCTAGACATGCCCTCAAGTGCAACAAGTTGTTCCATAATGAACTTTAAAATTTTACCTATCTTGCTAGCTTACTTCTAGCGTTTTTGTTTAATTTTATTTTTAATGCCATTTTCATCTTTGCGTTGAATCTAACTTGGCATACCTTTTGATTCAGAAAGAGGTGACATGGCACGAGGACAAATGGGAAAACCGCGAGAGTAAATTCCTCGCATTTACGTGAGTTGGACTCCTTGCACTTCTCGAATGCAGATGTCTTACGAATTTGTTATTCCAAAAATTATTGTTTGCTTGCACAATGCGCATCATATAACTATACTTTTTCCAATCATGTTTTGCATCAGAATGTTGAGGACCATTTAGCCATGAGAGTTAGGAAAAGAAACAATGTGTGCACGATGAATCTGAATTGCCATTTATATGATATTTTAGTTGTTCTGATATAAAGTAGTCCCTAGCAGCTGGATTTTTCACAAAATTACCTATTTCTTTTGCCAATAAAATGAAATAAGTACTCTGATTATTAACTGACATTTACAAGTATTTGCATGTGGATGCAGCTATATGCATGTTGCATCGAACTTTATTCACGTTCCATAAGTTCTCTGCTGTTTGTTATGAGACTGGAGCTTTCTTTTTTTTTTGTCATTTTTTTTCCAGTGGTTATGGCAAATATACTTAACTACGAAATGTGTAACTTTTTTTCGTGAATTCAGTATAATCGGCTTACTATCAGTTTCTTTATCAGTAGTCTCTCGAATTGGACATGTTATCCTTCTACTCTTGAACTATTCAAATGTTGGCTCATGTATGTGGAAATTGTCAATTTAGAAAGTCTTCCGTATAAACCCTGTACATTACTTGGGTCATCTATATGCCTAACACCTTATTGGAGCAGCGAAGTAACTAGTTACCCCTCCAAAATCGTTCATCCCTATACATTCAAAAGCCTAACTCATGTACTATAGAGCAAGAATTAATTCTTCAGTCGGTGAAAATGTAATTTGGAGTAAATGAATAAGCGGGTAGTTGGGAATTCAACTATTTTCTTACTCTGGTCTACATACTAGTTCGAAAATTTATAAATATCCAGAGAACATTATACCTTGTCTCTTATGAACAATTTTATATCTCAGGCTTCATGAAGAGAATGGAGATGATCTATATGTGGCATTCAATGCACATGACTACTTTGTGAAAACTGTTATACCTTCACCACCGCAGAGAAAACGGTGGTTCCGAGTGGTGAGTTGCTAAACTCAACTTTGCCTATCTTTCTAATTTCACACCACAAAGAAATCATGCATTATATGCTTTCTAATTTATGCTTATTCTTCTTTCTCTCTCTCTCTCTATCGTGTGTGTGTGTGTGTGTGCACGCATTTGAACTGCATGACCAAATAAAGCATCTCTTATAATCCTCCATCCCACAAATATAGACCTATAGCTGTTTGACTTCCACGCTTATGAAAAATACTATGGAAGAGCACGATACCAGGTTTATGAAAAATATGTTTATAGAAAGCACTTTTCTTGGCTAATTTTGCGATGTCTCTCAATCGTCAATTAGGTCTCTCAATTGCCGACAATATGCCAACGAAGGCACCAGCTAGCTTTCTGGGGAGTCTAGACGGCCAGAAAAACTAAATATTTCTCCAATATATTTCTGACGATCAAGAGACAACATAAAATTCTTTAAAAAAATATGCATGTATGTTTATAAAAATTCAACGACGAGATATGTGGTAGCATTCAAACTTTAACATGTTTTGGACGAAACTTTTTAGAAACTTTAAACACGATTTTAACAAACTCCGAGGTATTATATGATGAAATTAAAAATATTGTTGGATAATGTCGAGTTGAGAACTTCAAAATGATATATAATTTGTTGAAACCTCGTCACCAAAGGCAGTGGGAAGCGAAAGACTGTGGTAATTGATTTTGAAAACGTTAGTAATCAAAACTGATTAAATGAAATATCGAGTACCAAGCGCAATTATAGTGATGGTCCTCAAAAGTGATTTTTTCATTAATTATTTGTTTATTTTAACCCTCATGATTAAGTTTGATTAGTGGTTTAATGTATGGCAGTTGTAGAACCGAATTCGAGCTCGAGTTTGACTATTTTTCTTCGTTTGTTTAATATTCGAACATAAATTTTCGTTCGTGTTCGTTTATTGGTTTGACAAGTTCGTGTTCGTTTGTTTATATAGTCGAACTTGTTCACAAATTGTTCGAACCAACTGCATTCGACTAGCTCTAATTGTTCAAAAACAAACAACATGCTCCCAATTAACAAAGCTATATCAACATGTATTCATTTAGCCCTTTACCAAATTTGATCATAAAATTAAATACAACCAAGCACAAATAAATACAAGCAAGTCCAACAAAATACCAAGTCTGAAAAACAATCACCCAAATATCTAAAACAAACTTCAAATTCCACTTGTTCAAAGAAAAAACAATAAAAGTTGACTGACGTGCAGTGTGTAAAGACCTTTGTTCAGCTCACACGACCTGGATCTGTGCTTCGACCTGTTCGTAAACCTATAAAATAGGCCGGGAGGAGTTTTCGGCGTTAGCACTACGACAATCAAGTCAGTGCATAGATGAAAAAGACAATTAACAGTGTATGTAAAACTCTGTAAGAATATAGTGTGTAGAGAATGTATAGTGTAAATGGACGTACCTCACCCCATTAGTCGATGACCACTCATACCTTCAGGTTGAGTTTCAACCAGACCATCTAAGGGCCCTAGCTCGACCTGTGGTGCTCCTTTATAGCAATGAATCCTCAGGTTGATGAGGATGGCACGGGTTCAAAGGAGCACCGACAGGTTGAGCTAGGGCCCTTGGATGGCTGGCTGAAACTTGACCTGAAAGCATGACTGGCCGATGGATCAACTAGAAGAGTAAAGCATCTGAGCTTAGTATAGGAAGCAATCCACCTCGAGATAATTTGGGTCAGTCGCACGATTAGACCGTCTAATAAGGAAAACTAATAGATATTAATGAATATTATTAAGATAAGAAGCACATGTGGATAGGGCCATGTTGCCTAACAGAATTGGACAATTCGGGTAGTACGGACGGGCAGTTTCAGCAGTTTGGGCAGCCCAAACCAGCAGTCTTGACAACAAGATAACACACTCCTACATATAGGGGTGAGGTATGTGCATCCCAACATTACATCTCGACACATACTTACATACTGAGCTTTCATTAATGTTCATCATCTACGTTCGCATTCTGACTAAAGCATTGAAGGATCTACGCTGGAAAACCCTTCCGACGTTGAGTTTGTGAAAGTATTAAAGGTCATCAACCGGCAACAGAGGCAATCCAGGTCGAATCGAGTCGGTCTGAGGTGTTTTACATACCAAGTATAGAAAGAAGAATGGTATATAAGTCTTTATTCTAATATTCAGCAAACATTTCAATAAAATATCTTCGTGGGTCTCAAATTGGAGGC